GCAAACTAATTTAGTCAACCTGCAATAGGATTATATCTTATTTTACTTCCTCTCAACCATGTTATGTGTACAGGTTTTGATGCACCTTTGAACGAGATCTCATTTTTAATGGAGAATGCAGACAAACGCCAACTATCATGTATGAACACAATCATAATTTATATGGGCTTTGCTTGTAAATGGTCTTCGAAGTTGGGTTGCTTGTTCTTATTCCAATTGAATCAATTCGAGCGTTTTAAGACACAAAACCTTCACTGTATTTTTGCTACTGGAGGGTCATGATCCAAAATAATAGAGTTGGTCTTGAGATAGCAAGTAGAAGCAGGAATTAGCGAAGCATGGGGTCAGATATTCAAACATTGGTTTTGCACTTCCCTTTATCATGAGGATGAGAAAGAAACATTGGTTTAAAGTTAATTATTGTACTACCCAGCGCTGGCTGGTTTTCGAAAGGTTTAAGTAGGTTGGTTACCTACCATTTGCTTATGTTTGGAAATTTGGTTGTCAAATATTTTAAATGCTTAAGATGATAATACTTCAGTTTGTTTGTCTGTAAATTTTAGGTGATTTTGGCCACAAATATAGCGGAGACACCGACTACAATTCATGGAATAAGATACGCGATAGACCTTACATTTGTTACAACATGAAATTATGATCCAAATCGTCCAATCAAAGGAATAGAGGCGCATGATGTTCCAACATCAAAATCAAAGACACTTCAAAGAAGGTACCATGTTCTATATTCATTATTTTGTTCCATTAAATGTGGTTTAATGGTTCACAAGAGTTGAGAGTTTTACCTGCAAATTTATTTCTTTCTCTTTTCGCTTTTACTTTAGTAGACGTGTGCAGGATGTGAGAGTCCTGCCTTCCAGTTCACAATTTTTGTCTTCCAGTTCCATGATCTTTCGTATACATATTTCTGCTGAAAAGTTTCTACAACTTTTGGTGAATATTACACAAAAAGCTTCAACCACAATTTTTTCTCCTGGATCAACACCACAAATTTACACACCACAATTATTAGAATTTTAATCGACAAAAAAACCCGCGCGTATTCGCGGATATTGGCCTAGTGAAGAAATGAAAGAGAAAAATCTTTAATTTCTTTGGAGATTCATTAAAAGATACACCATTTCCATACAAA